TCCTCCCTACATCCCTTAAATTAATTACCTTACAATTCACTTTAGTGCCAAACTGTTCTCTAGTCCTAAACTTGTTTTAGTTTTTTTATTTGCAAGCCTATGTGCAAGGTATTTGCAGAAAAAAAAAAAAAAAAACTTTTAAAAGCCACTGAAATGAAAATCTAACCATTAACTTGCCCAAAAAGTAGAAAAGGAGTTCATTTTATATAGAAATATCATAATCGTCATCCCATAAACTTTCACAAGAATAGGGCTTTATTTCACTGCCATATTCCCAGCACCAAAAATAGTGCCTGACATATAGTAGGTAATCAGCAAACAGTACTGAATGAACGAATGATCCATACCATACGTTGAAGGGCAGCAGAGGAAAGAGGAAATGTCCGAGAATTTTTATTGAGCCAAGAACTGTCTTTAATGTCTATTGTGGTCATTGTCATTTAAACATGAAACCTATCAAGTATGTATGAAGAATGACTATACATATATAGGTGTGTATATACTTGATGTATATGGAATGAAGATAGGATTTCATTTAGAATTCACTAGGCTTTCTAATGTGAAAGGGAAAGTGTGTTCATGTGTGCATGAATTTGATGTATTTAAGATGTTGGGGGCTGTTTACACATAAAACATTTCTCATTTCCCATGGAATAATTCAGTAAAAGAAGCATGAACTAAAATGTCATCTGATTTTAGACTAGGTACTCTCAACTCTAGGCTTTTCATTATACTTTCTACCCATAAGTCAATCACTAAATCACATAAAAACAGGCAAACCAAATAAATGACCTGCAGTAGGATTTTTTTCCTGGGCTTAGATTTTTTCCCTGTATTACTTAGTTTCTGAAAACAATATTTTGCCTGATAACATTTAGCCCAATTCTTGTCAATCTCACACCAATGCATCCAATATGACTATGTCCTAATAGTTTTGAAGTTGAACCATTAAAAAAAACAAAAACAAACTCATTTCTTGCCTGTATACTGCAGGTTCAGCATTTTTACCATGCATCCCAGTGTTTGGAAACCCAAACAGAGAAAATAATATTCAGAATACTAAACTAATAGTAATGAAGCTGCTGGTTTCCATGTGCTGAGTGGCCACGGTATGCCAGGCACTAACTATATGCTTAGTATGTGTACTAATGCTTTTAGTCTGGACACCCAGTATGAGTAACGTGCTGCTATCACTTTCCCCTTTGATAGATGAGAAAACTGAGGTTCACAGAGGTCAATAACTTGTCCAGGATCAAGTAAGTGATGGAGCCATGATTTAAATGCTCTGTCTGCAGAGTCAGAGATCTTCAGAACTACGATGACGTTGCCTCTTCTAACTTTTATTTGCTTTACCTGATCACCTTCAGAAAAAAGTACAAGCACAGTTTTCAAAAGTAATTGTAACAGTAATCGAATTTATACTCAAATGTATGACACCTTTTTTTTTTCCCAAAGAGCAAAGATATTTGACAACTTTCCTTTCTATGGAGGGAAGATGGTCCTGGCCCACAAACACATTAACTTAGTGAGAATCTGGCCCAATTCCAGCTGTGCTATCTACTGCTCTCCAATCATCATTTTCTAAAATAGCCTGCTACTTGAGGTTAAAAAAAACGAAAAAGTAATCTATAAAGCATGTCACCTAGCTTGATATATTATCACCAATAACCCATATTGAAGCAAGTCAAGAGGTGTCTCGTTTGTGGAGCCAGAGGTGACTGCAAGAATCTTTGTACCTGCTGAGAGTTCAATGGAGAAGCCAGCTCCACATAAAAATGATACAAGCACTCTGCCTCTTCCCCAAAGCTTAGCCCTCGCCCTGGACTCTGGACTTTAGAGCATAGTAAATGAGCAAAGCACAAGTTTAGGAGTCAAACAGCCTGGGTTCCGATCCTGACCCTACCACTTACTACATGAACTTGGACAAGGTTTTTTAACCTCTAATCCTCAGTTTCCTTACAGCAATGGGAGTTGCAATATTTAGCCTAAAAGAGATACCACAGTGGTTGCATGGGATAACATATGGGACATGCTGGCCGCCTTCCTGGTACACAGTAGTTGGATAACAGAAAGTTTTCTTCCCCCTCCTGAGGGATCTTCTCACTGCTGTGCTAGAGCTGGCTGACACTGGTTTGGAAGAGCTGACTATTAAATCTGTAGGAATTTTAAAAGCCACTTATTTAAAAAACAGCCATTATTGAAAATTAAATGACATAAACTTAAAATTAAATGTCATATTTTAAACAAGGTACTAAATACTCAAAGCTCATTATTCTTGAGTTGGTTTTTGCTTCACTTTTCTATGACCTATGTTTTTGAGGTTATTTGTGTCTATTGCATCTATCTGATAGAAATACTGCATCACGGCGGGCCATGACACAGCCCTCACGGCGCCATGGTCAGTGAAGTCACACTCGTAGCTTGAAATCAGCCACAGTGGGAGTATTTACATTAGGAAACACTACAAATCAGGAGTCCCTTTCTTTGGAAAGCCAGTTATTAAACAATTAGCAGCACATAACAGGTGTGTGCTGGTTATCTAACAATACACACACATGTGTGCATGTGCACGTACACCCACACACATCCGTAAAATATAAAATAAAACTGGAAAGAAAAATGAACATTCCTTCCACTAACAATCTTTTCCTCATTTCTTCATTGGCAAATTTATTGGAAATGTCCCACTATTATTAATTTCCAACACTTCCTTATCATCCACTCATCAACTGATCCATGTTGCAATTATTTAAGCAGGTGCTATTGGCCAGACCCTGTGACAGGAGCTGGCAACCCATCTGTGACACACCCTGACATGAACCTGCCCCAACCGAGCTCATAGTCACGTGGCAGCCTAGCTTCTGTCCCACCTTGAATGTCTCCAATGATCTCTATACTCCTTTCCCCCGCCTCTTTAGCCTCCATTAAAAAAATTCACAATTTCCCCAATTGTTTCACCTTCTTTCCCTCCATGGCCCTCAACAAAAATGTCAAGATTTTCTCAATGCTTTAACCCTTTATTCCTCTTCCCTTTTCCTCAGGAATTTCCGCATTAATGTGATTTTGTTCTCTCTCCAACCCCCAGAAAACCTACTACTCCCCTAATTTTTCCCCTTAGTAACTAATGCCACCATCCACCCACTTGGTTAAGCCAGAAACTTGGAAATCCTTGTTTTCTTCCTTTCCCTCTCCCCATCATCACAAACACTAGCAAGTCCTGTTGGGTCTGTATCAGAAGCGTATCTCAAATCCAGCTCATCTCTTCATTGCAGTTTCCATGACACTCAGCTAAGACTCCCTTTCCCTCACTCAGCTTGTATAAAAGCCTCCTAACCCTTTTCCCTTCTTCGTGATTGTCCCCAACATCCTGCATCACAAAGAGGCCAGAAGGAATGTTTTTAAAAGAAATGTAATTATGTCTGCCTATACTTAAAAAAAATAATAAAACTTCAACATCTTCCCGTTCCCCTCAGAATAAAATCCAAACCTGCTTCCACAGCCAGCACAGTCCTTCCCCTGTGCCCTGCCCAATCCTTGCCCTCACCCCTTCTTCTCCCATTTTGCTCATAACCCTCAAGCCCAGAACCCTCTGCCAGATCTTTGCACACCTTTATTGGCTCCTAACCTCATTCAGGAGGATTCAGAAGCTTTCCTTGGCCAACCAACCCGAATGCCTTCAGGCTAAGCCATCTCTCTCCATCACATCCTGCCTTACTCTCTTCTTAGCACTCACATTGTTCATTCATTGTGGATTATTTATTATCTACCTTCTCCTACTAGAAGGAAAGCTATACAAGAGCAAGGACCTTGTCTTTCTTATTTACCAGGACACTCCTGGTGCCTAGAACATGCCTGGCACTTTTCAGCCACTTAACAGATATTTATTGATGAATGAACAAAAGAATGAATGAATGGGGCAAGATAAAAAAAAAAACACAGGCAAAGGTGAGAATAACTGAAAGCCAATACTACAGAAGGAAGGAATTCTAAGGGACTGTGTACAGAAGAGTAAGAACAGCAATCTGAAGTGGTAAAGTGCTAATCCTATGAATGAAATTTCCATATGTTAAAATAATTAGGAGGTCATTAGGCTGAGGGGTCTCTGGCAACCTGTAGCCCTACATAGGCAGAGAAACCCAACTGAGTATAAATGGTAAAATGAAATCAAGCTTAACCACTAACTAACCTCTAACTAGGAACTTTCCACTCGAATGATCCATATGGGGATACTGCTCCCCTTTAACCAATCAAATATTTCCTTTGCTCTGCTTCTGCCTTCGCCCTGTAAAAACTTCCCCTCCTGCCTCAGCAGGGGAGCCCCAAACCTCAGAGGTCTGGAGCTGCCCAATTCATTAATCACTGTCTGCTCAAATAAACGCTTTAGCTTTTTAATGTGCCTAAGTTTATCTTTTAGCATATATCTGTTATGTTCTGATTTGCACATGGCCTGAGCTATTTTGGAGACAAACTAAGTTAGTGAGCAACACCTGTCCTGATAAATCCATGCTAATTTTCATGGCTACGTCAAAATATTAAAAAATAAAGAAGAAAAGACAATCATATGCACTAAAGATTTTCAGACATCGTCAAAAACATTTCAGAAAGGAAGAGTCCTCTGGGTTTCCTCCCATATCTGCATTGTAATAAATTCAGATCAAGCACAAAGAGCAGAGAGAGGCAGGAGAAGCAGAGGGAGAACACCCTCCTCCCCTAGTAAACAAAGGGTGCCTTCTGATGCCTGAAGCTGCACAGACCCACACCTCATCACAGGCAGACAGCACGGCTTCCACTTGCTTCATCTAACTACTCCTTTCTTATCCATTGTATTATAGGGAAGGAAAAGAGGGAAAGGGGAACAGAAAGAAGGGAAGGACGGAAGCATGAAGAGAGGGAGGTCACAGTGTGCTGCCTCAGTGCTTCAATTCCCCAGGCATCCCAGGCTGCACTAGGTAATGCTGGACGTTGAAAACATGCAGGAACCAAGAAACCCAGCCCAGTACCTCATCATGGACCACACAGCTGGTGGGGATACCGGGAATCCACTGCTCTTGGGTTCCGGTGGCAGTGGAGAGTGGCAGCCACCCCAAGCTCCTTTGTGAGGGAAACGCTGGTGCTTCCCGTTCTCTCGGTGAGGATGGCCTGGCAGTGAGGAGGGCTGGGGGCTCCCGGGCTGCTGTGGGCCACGTGGACAGAGGGCCCCATTGCTCCTGTTATGCATGGAATTGAGGGAAGACAAAGTCAAACAGAGTGACAAGGCTTGCAACAACAGATAGCAGTACCCCGCCCTACCCACAAGTCCTGCTTCCTGGAAACAATCATTCTCAAGTCTTTAGCTCCTGTGTTTCTGACATTTATTGCCATATTATTAAAACAACATAATTATACATATTTTTTCAATTTTAAAACTTATTGTATTGACTTACTATTATACAACACTATAACTGAGTCTTTCTTAGATGGCCACCAACACACACACACACACACACACACACACACACACACACACACACTTCACCCCTTACCCTCCAAATAGGTTTATCTCAGAATATTTGGTTGAAGTGGTATTAAGGATTTACATTATTATGATCTTGTAAGATATTGCTCATAGCTGAACCATCCAATAATTACATTTTTTTCTGTTATGAATTCTCTGAGATATAACTCATAACCACGAGATGGGCAAAAATTTAAACATCTGATACTACCAAGGGATGGTCAGAAAGTGAAACAAAGGGGATTTTCATTCCTGCTAGAAGCATTTCAGGAGCAGTGTCTTGGGATGTGATGCAGTCAACATGCATCTATCCTTTGCCCAGCAACTACACTTCCATGATTATGCCTGAAAGAAAACTTCATATATTTGCACAAGAATATGTGCACAGAAATTTCACTGCAGCATAGTTTATAATAGCAAAAATGTGGAAATAACCTAAATTCCAAACCCAGAAAAATGGATAATGATAATTATATGCTATATAGCAGTTAAGATAAATGAAATATAGCTACGTAAATCAACACTGATAAATCTCAAAAGCCCAATGGTAAATGGGAAAAAAAAGCAAGCAATGCCGTTTATGTAAAGTTTGCAAATATGCAAAATAATACTTTTGATATTCACTGGTATGTGTGTATATGAAGCAAAGTACTAGCAACAATCATGGAAATGAAAAGTGCCAAATTCAGGATTGTAATTCCCTCTGGAGAGAGAGGATGATTGTGGGCAGGGAATGTTACTTTCTAGATGCTGGAAATTATATCCTATGTTTTTAAAAAAGAAAGGTAGCTTTCAGGAGCTGGTCTTTTCCTGAAAATCTTTCCTCCTAAAGACGATGTCACATAGAAAAAATCGCATTCCATCTATGTGGCCCAATCTTAAAATTTAAGAATAAATTGTGCCTCTTGTAGGAAAGTACTTGCAGCATTTTGTTTCTATCACTGTTTCTTGCCTGCTTCCTAAATCATACAATGAAAGCTCTCAAGAACCACCTAGTGCTAAGATGTTTACTCCAAATTAGCAGGTAAAGTGGGGACTGGGGAGTAGACCCCTAAGTGATTGTGTAAAAATCTGTGTATATGTGCATTCCTCTGGGGACAAAACTTTGTGAAATTCTCAAGAGTCCATGATCCCCCAAATACTCAGAAACTCTGAGCTGGGTAACTGTCTCATGATGCCTGAGCAGCAGATGTCCTGCGAGGTCTCTTGAGTCCCTGTCATGTGTTCCTCCTGGGAGGCAATGGTGCTCAGGGCTAATCCTGTGGACCTGGAGCCACATGGACATGGGTCCAACTCCTGGCTCCCCTTGGGCTGGCTGACTGTGGGGAGGATTACTTTCTGTGCCTCTGTTTCCTCCTCTGTAAAATGAGGATAAAGGTTGTTGCAAGCAAATAGCATGGCACAGTGCCAGGGCCAGCCCTTAGGTGATATCAACCATTTTTGGCCAGGTCTCTGTGTTACATCCTCTGGTTCCTGCCTACCACTTTTCACAACTGTAATCGATCACTCATCGAATTACTCACATAATGTCTGTCTCCACCAACATCTCATGTACTTTTTGCTGGAAGGAACCATATCTGTCTTGCTCTTGGCAAGGCAGAATGAACATGTATTGAATGGGTGGATAAAAGCATGAAGAATGAATGCCTCCACTTAGGCAGCAGCACTGCTGGATATGAAAGCTAAAAGCTTCTTAAAAAAAAAAAAACAGACTAAGCTGTAGGACTTCTGTCAGCAGTATTACCCTCCCAATGAATTTCTGACTGTTTAGTTTGATGAAGATTAAGAAAGATTATCAAAGAAAGAAAAGAGACAATTATCCCTTTTGAAAAAGGCCTGGCTCAACAGTGACTACATGAAGAAGAAAAAAGGAGGTGTAGGCACCCATGGGCTGGAGAGTCCCAAGACCAGAGGAGACATGACTTCAATGACAACATTAAAATAGCTCTGGACTGGACCACATGAGAGAACGCATCTGCAGTTATCTGTCTTATCTTTTTGCTATCAGTGAGGCACAGCAGAAAGAAGGATGTTGAAACAAGGTAGATGCAAGAAGGAAGTAGAAAGGGGTTTATAGTTTGTTTTCTGAAAAGTAAGATGGGCAATGCAATTACTCCCACTGGTTAGAGGATAGGGAGGAAAGGCATCCTCATATAGGCCAAAGGGAGTGAGTGCCTCTGGCTCATGGTTTTCTCGGCATGAGTTTGGGTCAAAGTGATTATTTGGCTCCATGATTTTACAAGCCTCTGAGACTTACAGAGACCCAACACAGCATTATACTCTTTTTAAATTATCCCCAACTATCACACTCCCAGGCAAGAAGGTAATCAATTTCCTGACTCATCTCAGTTTGTTACCACTCAATAGCACTGCTCTTATCTTTACGTCAAGAAATATAAAGAGGTAGGAAAAGGGATTTAAAAAGGATTTTTTTTTAAGATAAAATTCTTCATTTGATAAGGCAGAAGAATAAATTAGCCACATCTTTTAAAAGTTTTAAAAGTAAGGACCTTATAATTACTGAAAAATGGGGTCTGCTTGCAAAATTACTGGTAATTATGGATTTGATGGGGAAGGAAATTATAGTATGTGTTTGAACTTTTAATATGCCTTAGTGATTCTTATCATCTATAAGCCACAACACAAAATGAATGTGCCTTAAATTTTTAAAATAAATTGGGCTACTAAATACGCTTGTTCATTAATTTGAATATGACGTGTATGTACTCCTGCATGGTATAGACTGGCTCTTTGTGAAATTCCAATGGGCACTCCTGAAACTCTTAGGTAACAGTATCATTAGAAGAGCAGGCAAAGGGGCTCTTTGATGGATAACACTCATGCAAATACAGGGATCCAAAGCAAGCTGTTAAAAGCTGTTACCATTTGCAATCACTTACTTACACGAACCAAGATTTTCTCAGCAGCATGCAACCAAAACAAGCCAGCAATATAAACTTGCAATTAACATAGAGATTTTTTAATTCCAAATTTGGGGCTCACAAAAACTTCATAGTCCTCATTGATTTATATGAAAGTGTGAAGCATTTGAGCATATATAATGCACTTATCTTAATGAAATAAGCTTCGTTAGTTACCAGACAGTCTGAGGTAAGGTGACAGTCAATAAAATGTTATACTTGTATTTTTTATATGGAAGTTTGGAAACTATTGTTTTAAGTAATTCTTCTCTTCCCATGTCATGCCGTTTGATATCAAAACTTTAAAGTGACTTACGACTTGTCTTGCTTGTGGGAAAGGGAAAACAGGTCATAAACCAAGCACACTCCGAACACCGTGATGCCTGTCTCTTTCACCAGCATTGCACAGGTCCCCAGAAGCAAACTGAGCAGCAAGAAGAAGGGAGACACCGTGGAAGGGAAACTTTCCCCAACACAGCCCTGATCCAGACTCCTGAAAAACAAGTTGGAGATTCTTTTAATCTCAGAAGGAATGAGGGCTGCTAAGAAATACCACCTGTTAAAGATAAGATCTAATGTCAATTTCCTTGTATTCTAAGTAATTAAGAAGGTGAGCAGAGATTTCTTAAAGAGTCTTTATCCCAACAATACTAAATTTGGTATTTAAATCATAGTATATACAGACTATGGTAGGTAATAAATGAACACTAAAAAGCCATTTAAAATTCTACCAGGGACATACTTAGTCACACGAAAAGATGTTTAAGTGAATACATTCTAAGTGAATAATCGAGTTACAAAACCATATACATAAGCTCAGGAGCCAGGTTCCCTCGGTTCCCTGCTAACCACAGCAGTTAATTAACAGGGTAATATGGGGCAAGTTACTTTACTTCTTGGTGCTTCACTTCCCTTATGTGTGAAAGGGATAACTGTTGTAGGGGGGAATTAAACAAATGACTCGTTTACACATCAAGTGTTTATCACCATCATTATGTTAGTGAAGTGTTTTATACGCTTCCATACATAAAACAAAGTTGCCAGTGGATATATATGCCAAAATATACTCAGCATTTCTCTCTGGGATGAAAATGCAACTATTTTAACCTATTTTTTTCTTTTGGCTAAATTCATTTAGCCAAAATTTTAAAATTCATTTTTCTATGAGGATATCTTAAGTAAAATTTATTTCTTTTCTCAGTTTAATTTCCAACAAGGATTTTCAAAAGCTCTCCAGTGCTATTAAGCCTTTGTTTCGCCTTGTAAAACAGAACTGGCCCCTACCAAGAAATATCACTGTTCCCTTCAGCAGGTACCACACCTATTGCCTCCTATTCCTTTGAAGTAAAAGCCAATATTTCTGTAGTTCAGACGCCTTCTCCTTAGTGTTATGTCTTAGAACAATCACATAAGATTATATGCAAAATTTGCAGTAGATAGGCTTTTTTTCTATTGAGTTGGTCTATAGCTTAAATTTCTGAAAGTAAGAATGGCATGCAAAACAAATCTGTAATAACATGGCTCATTATCATACAGATATGGATACGCTGCAGGCCTAATCATGCCCCCAAATATATTAACCACACAGAACAGGGCTGAGAGAACAAGTTTAAACTCCAAAGCAATTATTCCTTCTATTCTAATGCCAGAGTAAACAAGAAACAATTAACTGTTAAATTTTGGCTTATATTTTCAGGTTTCATAACACTCACATCATATGATTAAGAATGCAGTAGGAAGTTGCAAACCAGGGGAAGAAGAAGAATTGCACTATGCTAAGAAAATGTTCCACCCTTTAAACAAAACAAAACTTCTTAAGACTGAATTCATTTCATTATTGACTCAAAGTCTAAATTGGTTTGTAACAGGTTTCTCAATCTCAGCCCCATTGGCATTTCCTGCCAGAGAATTCTTTGTTGTAGGTACTGTCCTGTTCATTGCAGGATGTCTGTTCAGCAACATATTTTGCTTCTACCCACTAGATGCCATGAGCACTTCTTCGAGTTGTGACAACCAAAGATGTCTGCAGGTATTGCCAAATGTCTCCTGTGGGTAGAGGAGGTAGTGTCTAGGAAGAGGAGAAAAATCAACCCTTATTGAGAACCACTGATTTAGAACAGTGTTCCTCAGTCACTGGGGTTTGTAAGCCTATAGGTCAATGAACTGATCCAAAGATCAGGGCCACCGAATGCTTAATCAAGCGTATCTCTATGAAATTGGGCAACGTGGTTGACCTGCCCACTTTTTCTAGGCTGTATTAGTCTGTTTTTACGCTGCTGATAAAGACATATCTGAGACTGAGCCTTACAAAAGAAAGAGGTTTATTGAACTTACAGTTCCACATGGCTGGGGAGGCCTCACAATCATGGTAGAAGACAAGGAGAAGCAAGTCACGTCTCATATGCATGACAGCAGGCAAAGAGAGCTTGTGCGGGAAAACTCCCAATTTAAAACCATCAGCTCTCATGAGACTTATACACTATCATGAGAACAGCATGGGAAAGATATGGCCCCATGATTCAGTTACCTCCCACCAGGTTCCTACCAGGACACATGGGATTTGTGGGGGTTACAATTCAAGGTGAGATTTGGGTGGGACACAGCCAAACCATATCACAGGCCATGCTGCCCCCATTCATATTCTCTTTTTAATTATCTCCTTTATCTATATGGACATGGCATGACTCAGGTGAGAATCTGATTTGATTTACAGTAAAGGTGCAATATAATAGGAAATTATTTTAATGCTTTTCAGTTTCCCAACACAAAAAACTTCTGTATTTTGATGAAACTATATGTAAATTGAAAAACTAAAGTCAAGAAATACTACTTTATGCTCAGCTTTATTTATTGTTTTAAGCTCTGAGTTACTTTGGTGAGGCTAGGAAAGAAAAAAAAACTTCAGACCAAAATGAAAAGGAAAAATTAAGCAAATCACAGAAAAATAAAAGAGAGCACTGCATCTAATACATTTTGGCTCAGAGCTAAGATCCCAAATTCAATTCTCAGTAAGAAACTACAAATAAAAGGAATGAAAAAACAAGAGCTTAGGTTCCCAGCACTGGGAAAGCAATCCTTTTGAGATACTACAAAGTGGTTCAGAATGGGGTTGGAAGAGAAAATGGCCCAGCGTTGAATAAGGAGCAAGAGTCCTATTCCTGGTCCCTGGAAAACTTGCTGAGTACTTCACAATCAGAAGCCTCTTTCCTCTCAGGCACGTGCTCACAGTCTAAAAACATGGCACAGTTGCAATCACAGAGAAAGGCACTCTTAGTCACACATACCTGTTGTAGGAGAGAAAGGCCAACAGAAACAGCAGACACGCTAACACGTCAGCTCTGCCAACAATCCCAGCCACCTTGAAAGTTAAAATAATAAAACGTGAAAACCTTGGATAATTACTTTCAGAAAACTATTACACAAATATATTACAGAAATGTATTTGTTTTTAGGTAAATGAAAGATATAATAAAACAGAATACTCACTGTCCTTCAAGTTCTGCTATATGACTAACCACCTCTGATTATCATATATATTTAATAACGAGTTTATGTAAGGAAAAAGAAGATGGGAGGGGCAAGATTTCCACACTTTGTTTTTAAGCTGTCTTCTTAGAGAGTCAATTCACGGCACCAAAAATTATTCATTAATTATTTTTTAAAATTTTTGAGCAATATTTGAGAGCCAGACACTGTGTTCTTCTGGGTACCATAATGCTAATGGAGCAGACAATATTATAGAGGACTAGAAAAAAGTAAGCTGAAAATCAATACTTTTAACAAGAATGGGGCTGGGCAGGATGGCTCACGTCTGTAATCTCAGCACTTTGGGAGGCCAAGGTGGGCAGATCACTTGAGCTAAGGAGTTCAAGACCAGCCTGGGCAACATGGCAAACCCCCATCTCTACAAAAAATACAAAAATTAGCCAGGCATGGTGGCACAGGCCTGTAGTTCCAGCTACTCAGGAGATTGAGGTAGAAGGATTGCTTGAGCCCTGGAGGTCAGGGCTGCAGTGAGCTGTGATTGTGCCACTGCACTCGGCCTGGGCAACAGAGTGGACCCTGTCTCAAAAAATAAATAAACAAAAAGGGGAATGAGTTTGAACTCATGATTGCCATATATGAGTATATGTGTGCAAGTGTGGGTGTGTGCATGTGTGCATATTTTTCTTAGCTCTATCACTGAAAGAGCCTATAAATATAATACCTCAGTAGCAAAGGCCAACTTGACACTAACCACAAACCATTTCTAAGAGAACATCATCTTCTTGGAAAACTGGCTGATACCAGGGCTGAGGCTGGGAAAATTCAAGAGGAATTTGGATCATTTTATGTCAGAAAGTAAGAAAATGCTTATAAATCGACAGTGAAAAGGGCACAGAAGTCAGAAACAAGGGGCCCCCATTGAACAAATTTAAGGCAAATTGAATATTGAAATAAATGCGGACAATAATATATTATAAACCACTGAAAATGAAATCCATTAGTCTATACTAATAATAAATACAGCCATGCATCGAATAATGACATTGAGGTCAACAACAAGCCACATATATGATGGTGGTCCCACAAGATTATAATACCATATTTCTATTGTACCTTTTCTATGTTTAGATACATTTAGATACACAAATACTTACCATTGTGTTACAGTTGCCTACAGTCGTCAGTATGATAGCCTAGGAGCAATAGGCATACCACTCAGGTTTGTGTAAGTATGTTTCATGATGTTTGCACAATGACAAAATCACCTAACAATTTGTTCTCAGAACATGTCCTCATCATTAAGCAATGCATAATTGTATATGCATAAATGAATGAGTGGATACATACATATGTACATACATGCATAGAGCAAGTAAGTGAATGGGAAAGAAAGGAGACCTTTTCCTTCATTAAAAAACCAGCTAGCCGGGCGCGGTGGCTCAAGCCTGTAATCCCAGCACTTTGGGAGGCCGAGGCGGGTGGATCACGAGGTCAAGAGATCGAGACCATCCTGGTCAACATGGTGAAACCCCGTCTCTACTAAAAATACAAAAAATTAGCTGGGCATGGTGGTGTGTGCCTGTAATCCCAGCTACTCAGGAGGCTGAGGCAGGAGAATTGCCTGAACCCAGGAGGCAGAGGTTGCGGTGAGCCGAGATAGCGCCATTGCACTCCAACCTGGGTAACATGACTGAAACTCCGTCTCAAAAAAAAAAAAAAAAACCAGCTAATGAATGTGGAGGGAGCAGTGGGGTTGGAAAATAACCATTTTGCTTCCAGAAGAGTAAAGACTGGATCATGCAAGGGTCTTCAACAATATCAATGGATGCTAAATACCTAGGGTATGAAAGTTTTTGAGGTGCAAAGTATTAGCAGGGTTTCAAAGTGTCTATTTACTATTTATTAGACGAAAAAATTTAAAAAACAATATGGGAAAAATGCATTATATCCCACTATGTCTTAACTGTGGCATCAAATTAAAATCATCATTCCTGAGAAGGAACCATCATTCATGCAGTATTCTAGCAGGGACATACAACCTGAATATAATCATGAGAAAATATCAAACTCAACATAAGAAACATTCTATAAAAATATGAATTAAATATATATTATACTTATAAATTATAATAAATTTTATGTGTAGTAATATTTTGTAAAATTTTATTGCATAGTAATTTATTCTAATTTATATTATACCATGATTCATAATTATATAAGTCATAATTTAATCAATTATAATATTGTATCTATTATTATATACTATATGTATAATACATTAAACATATATATTTTGTACATTTTTATTACTTACACATTATGCATTTGCATATAATATACTATATATCATATATTATTTACATATTATGTATTTTTAATATAATATGCTCTATAAATCATATGTAGTATATGTTATAAATTATATAACATACTATATCATATATTATATATATTATGTTATATATTATATATTTATATTATATATGGTAGAATATATTATAATTATATATTGCAATATAACATGTTAATGACATTTTTTATTTTACATGTTCTAAATATTAATTATAATATTTATTATATATTTAATATAAATATTATAATATAACTATTATTTATAATATTTAGAACATGATTATAATAGAAATTCTAATATTTAGAACAAGATTATAATATAAATTCTAAATATTATAATCTATAAATTATATTATAGAAAGACAATTAAGACTGGTAACTGTTTCAAACTAAAGGAGACTAATGAAAACTAAAGAGAAATGACTAATGCTTTCAGCTTTCAAAAATATACAACTAAATTATTAAAGTATAAAGGTATATGAATTATGTAAGCTACTCTCAAATACTTCAGAAAATAATGTTTTTATATATTGAGAGAAAGAGAGGAAGGTGATAAAACAAATGTGGAAAAATGTGAAAAATTAGTGAATCTGGATGGAGAGTATACAGTTATTTTCCATATTTTTTAAGTTTGAAATTATTTCAAAAAATGCATTACTTCAGAAGACTGAAATGGAAGAGGGGAAACATGACTCTACAAACCTTCATACTATTTTGCTACATAAGATGTCTCTGCATTTCTCTTATTTTTTAAAAAAATCCAATAAATAAATAGTCAAGGAAAAAAATGGGATATAGCTTTTTAAAAATGCCCCAAAGGGCCAGGTGCAGTGGCTCACACCTGTCTCCCAGCACTTTGGGACTCTGAGGTGGGCGGATCACGAGGTCAGGAGAGCAAGACCATCCTGGCTAACACAGTGAAACCCCGTCTCTATTAAAAATACAAAAAATTAGGTGGGCGTAGTGGTGCACACCTGCAGTCCCAGCTACTCGGGAGGCTGAGGCAGGAGAATAGCTTCAACCCAGGAGGCAGAGGTTGCAGTGAGCTGAGATTGTGCTACTGCACTCCAACCAGGGCAACAGAGCAAGACTCCGTTAAAAAAAAAAAAAAAAATGCTCCAAAGAACAGGTACCATAAGAGCTGAATGATAAGGAACAGCTCACAAGGGCACTGAATCAGGCTGACATTTCAGGCAGAGCAACAGCATCACCCACATCACAGAAGACCTGAGGTCCGTGGCGTGTTAAAGAATCAATCAACAATTAATAGTGGGAAATAGTTTTCTGGAAAATATACCTAAAAACATCCTCACAATGAGCACACTTTGCAGTCATGAAGGAGAGGCAGTGAATAAGCATGGAGGTGGCCAGGTGCAGTGGCTCACACCTGTAATCCCAGTACTTTGGGAGACCGAGGTGGGCAGATGACTTGAGCTTAGGAGTTAAAGACCAACCTGGGCAACATGGAAAAACCCTGTCTCTACCAGAAATACAAACGACCAACTAGGTGTGCACCTGTGGTCCCAGCTACTCAGGAGGCTGAGGTGGGTGGATTGCTTGAGCCCAGGAGGTAGAGGCTGCAATGAGCCAAGATCACACCACTGCACCCCAGCCTGGGTGACAGAGCAAGACCCTGTCTCAAAAACTTACAAAAAAATAAGCATGGAGATAAACAATTCAAGGTCTGAATGTAGACTTCTGTTGCCAACTGAAATTTGGTTTTGTTATGTTTAAAATGAGTGTAACACCCACTCCCCAAGGGTGATTGTAATTCATGAGATGATATATATACAAAGGGCCTGCTAGATAAATGCTGGTGTGCTTCTTTCTCACTCCCCCCGCCCCCGCCCCGGAGAAATTGGGTGGAACTCTTAACACTGAGATAGGTTTTCCTGTGGGGCTTATGGAGATCATTGTTTTACTTTAAGGTTTACATCTACGAGATCTTAATTGTAAGCTTTATTAGATTATCTAATATTAATCTGTTAGTTAAAATCTATGTAAAACATAACTCAATTATACACACACACAAATGGACTGACAGTGAGTCAAATATTGAGAAAAATTCCAGTCCTATTTACATTAAGAGAAACCTGGACATGGTCAAAGAATAGCATTGGCAATACAGAGCTGAAAGCTATCACCTGACGTGGCTGCTGGTACCACAAGCTATTCATTGATTCATCAATCTACAAGGAACCTGAGTATCAAATTAGGAAGACTGCATGACTCAAGAGAAGAATGCAGTGACAGTGTGGTGTCACCACAACGTCAAGGACCAGCTCAGACTCACAGTCTGTAAAGCCAAAGTGTGTACGGGTCACCTGTAAGCCCAGATCTGCTCTGGCTACACTACCATCTTCTTGAGCATTTAGCTCAGTATCACCTGCAAGTCTTCCTGAAGGTTAAACAGAGCCCAGCCCGCTAGCAACAGTCTTAAGATAAGCCTTAGCATCCGGACCCAGAAGGGCACTCATCACAGCACAACTGATGTACCCAACAGCGAGACTTGGAAGCTGT